TGGCACGCAAATTTCTGCCTAATGCTGCCATTTTCTCAAGCAACATTTGTCCATTCTGTTCTTTCTTCAGTTCTAGCAGACTATAAATTCGGAAACTTTTTTGAGAGATTGATGAATAAGATTCGATTGATCTAAATTCATTAAATAATTATAAATAGAATGAGTCAGTTAAGCTCGGGAGGGATTTGCCTGCAAATAGTCAAATTCCACAGTTTCCGGTACGAGAAGAACGATGTGCACATTAAAATTTCACGAAAAATTGTCTCCGCGGAGATAAAACGCTTCCTTTTTAGGGGTCCTCGAAAACCTGTTTGAACCGACCGCCGTGAATCTTCGAATCTACGCGTCATAGAACGGGAAGACGGCGGCGCTGAAGCCGACCTGCTTACTACCGCCACGCCGCCGTTGTTGACATCACGATTTCTCGTTTGAGGTTAAGTAAGTTCTGTGTGAATGTTTCATATCCTACATACATCTGTATCGCATTCTGATTGAACAGCTTAAAGAATTAAGAACAATGGCTATGAATCTCAAACAAAGTAACCTACATAACCTCCAATTTACCAACAAAAACATACCGCCAACGCGACGCCGCTGTGTATTCTTCTACTACGCATTCCGCCGCCATATTGATCGTAACGTGTACACTCGAAACCTACGAGCGCGCAGTTCAAACGCCGTTTTAGGCCACCTTAATTTTTGGCACTTTCAAATAAACTTTTCTCCCGTTTGCTGTCATAAAAAAAAATTAGGAAAAAAACTATAAGCTTCAGTTACTTACTACTTTCGAATGACACAATAAAAAAAAATGACTTAACTGACTCATTGTTGAGAAAGTGCTTCATGGGGGTCTTGTTTCGGATGCTAGAATATTAGTCAACATTTTCTTTCTTCTTTTTCTTTAATGGCGCTGCAGCCTGGGGTGAGCTTTGGCCTCCAAAACGACGCATCTCCATCCTACTCTGTCCATGGTCTTTTCTTTCCATCCTATCACTTTGATAACTCTAACAAGGGGAACTTACGGACCTGCCGCCTCCGATTGGGCTGAATTTTTTTTTACAGACTCTATGGACCAATTCTGGAGGTCAATTTGAGCCGTTTTCCCGAATGCGCAATAGGAAGGGCGTAAAAAATTCCCAAAAGTTGCGTTTTCGGCGTGTGATTTTGTCGTGCGGCGCGTGGCAACACTGAAGCAGCCTCTAGTACCGCTTTATCGGCCTGAAAGTTTCAGCGGAGTCCGGAGCCCTACTGCACACGTTCTGGTTCCATGATAGTGATGTCCCGGGTTCGATCCTCGACTTTTTATTTTGCGCATGATCACGTAACATTTTATTTTTAATTCTTCATCCGCATTTATAAATCAAGCAGTTCCGATCACTATCCCCCCCTCCCTCATTTTACGTACATTTTCCCCCGATATTTATTCACATTGGCCACATATAATCGTATGAAACTTCATTGATATAAATTAATGAATTAAAAAGCAAAGGGCTAAAATAATGTGTTTCTTGGTGACCCTTGCATGCATATGGGTTTGGGGTTGCTCTTCGATTTATTTACACATTACATATTTTTCCAGAAAAACATTTGAAGATAATGTAGTAACAAATAAGGTTTTCTTTTGCTTTTTAATTCATTAATTTATATCAATGAAGTTTCATACGATTATATGTGGCCAATGTGAATAAATATCGGNGGGGGGGGGGGGGGGGGGGGGGGGGTAGTGATCGGAACTGCTTGATTTATAAATGCGGATGAAGAATTAAAAATAAAATGTTACGTGATCATGCGCAAAATGAAAAGTCGAGGATCGAACCCGGGACATCACTATCATGGAACCAGTACGTGTGCAGTAGGGCTCCGGACTCCGCTGAAACTTTCAGGCCGATAAAGCGGTACTAGAGGCTGCTTCAGTGTTGCCACGCGCCGCACGACCAAATCACACGCCGAAAACGCAACTTTTGGGAATTTTTTACGCCCTTCCTATTGCGCATTCGGGAAAACGGCTCAAATTGACCTCTAGAATTGGTCCATAGAGTCTGTAAAAAAAAATTCAGCCCAATCGGAGGCGGCAGGTCCGTAAGTTCCCCTTGTAAGATCTTTCTCTACCTCATCTTGCCATCTAGCCCTGGCCTTCCTCTCTTTCTCTTTGATAAAACTTTGGCTTTCATGATTCTCTTCGGCATTCTTTCCTCTTCCATTCTGCTAACGTGTCCTAGTCATTGAATTCTTTGAGATTTAATGAATCAACTATATCTTCTTGTACCAGTATCTTGTCGATTTCGCTGTTGTTTCGAATTCTCCATTCTCCATTTTCTTCGATGGCTCCAAAAATCCCTCTTATGATTTTTCTCTCAAATCTTTGCAGCATACCCCTATCATTCTCTGTCGTAGTCCCCGTTTCTCCGCCATCTGTAACGATTGGTCTAAGAAGGGTCTTATATATTTGTAACTTGGTCTTCCGAGATATCAGTTTGCTTCGAATTACTTCCAAATTGGCGTAAGATGCGGTAGTACCTGTTTGTATTCTATCTTTAATTGACGTAGTTGTTCTAGCCTCATAATCGATTAGGTTTCCTAGATACTTGAATTTTGTGACTCCTTCAAATTCTTTGCCATCAATTATTAAGTTTTGCGATTTTCCTCTTGACTCTGAGGATGATAATACCATGTATTTGGTTTTCATTACATTTATCACTAGTCCTAAATCTCTGGCTCTTTTTTCCAATTCGTTTTAGATCTCTATTAGTTTTTCTTTAGTTCTCGCAATTAGGGCAATGTCATCTGCATAAGCACATGTTTGACTAGATTCTGTGAAAATTGTCCCTCTTTGGTCGATATGTTTAACTGCCATGTGCAGCGCTATTATAAATAATGTACTTGACAATCCATCCCCTTGCTTTCCGCCTTTGCTAAAGTCGAATACATTGCTCACTTTATCTCCTATTTTAACCTTGGCTTTGGTGCCACTCATGGTCATTGTTATAAGTTTGGTAAGCTTTCTTGGTACTTTCATTTCATCTAGGGCCTTTATTAGTGCTTTTCTATTGACACTGTCAAATGCCTCTTTAAAGTCTACGAAGAGCATGTGTAAATCGATTCCATACTCATGACTCATTTCCAGACTCATTACTCATTTTCCAGGGTCTGTCTGATCACAAATAATTGATCGGCTGTGCCTCTTCCTGGTCGAAAACTGCATTGGTATTGGCACCTGCATTGGTACCTGTCTCCTTTTCTGCTACCGTCTTCAGTCTTTCATTTAAAATTGATGACATTATTTTAAATGCTGTGCTTAAGAGTGTAATGTCTCTGTAATTTTTGCATTCTAATTTGTCTCCTGTTTTAAATAATGGACAAATCGTTCCGATGTTCCATTTCCATGGCATTTTTCAGATTTCCATATTGCTTTGATTAAAACGTGTATTTCTTTGATTAACATTTGTCCTCCTTTTTTAAGGAGCTCTGCTGTAATTCCATCTTCGCTTGCAACTTCATTATTTTTCATTCTTCTGATTCTCTCTGCAACTTCTTCTACACTTGGTGTTCGTGACAAATCATCCTCATCTATGTGGTCTTCCTCTTTTTCCGTTGTTTCTTTGTCGTTCTATATCATCCTTTCCTTTTCGTTTAGCAGCTCTTCAAAATGTTCTGCCCATCTCTCCATTATGTTCTTCTCTTCTCCCAGTAACTGACCATCTTTACCTCTGCACCTGCTTGTTTTCGGATGAAATCCTTTTCTCATTCTACGAGGTCTGTTAGATTAGAAACCGGATTTTGGTCATAACCAGCCCACAATGCGTCCGATTTAGGTTTTCTTGAGCTTTCCTGATAGCTGGAAATATACTTAAGAACGCTACGTTTACAGATTTTGTTTATTTTGATCAGTGTTTATTCTGTGTCATCTTGAATACGAGTAAGTCAGGTGCGTTTTGCGATTTTAGCATGCGATCACTGACAGAGCAAAGATTCAACACTAAATTTTATTTTAAACTCGGTATACCTTGTACCGAAACTTTTGGTATATGCTAAGAAAAGTTTACCATGATCATTGTATGAGATGTTCCCACTGTTTTGAATGGGTTAAACGATTCAAAACTGGTCAGGTGTTCGTTAAAGATGAGGAGCGTGGGAATCGACCCTCAACGGCGACTGACATTTGTCACGTGGAAGAAATGCGGGCAAAAGTGCTCGAAAATGGTCGTTTCGAGCTTGTTGAACAAAGTCATATTTCTGAAGGCTCTGTACATACAATTTTGATAGAATATGTAGACACGCATCGAGTTTCAGGTACACTTGCCCCTTGATTGTTGTCCTTTGAACGAAAATCCAACCAAATGTCAAATTACCTTTAGCTGCTTGAACGTTCTAACAATGATCCTACATTTTTGGATAGGATAATTTTAGGTGACAATACTTTAGTGTACGGCTACGATATGGAGACGAAACTCCAATCGTCCCTGTGGGTTAAAAAATGTTGTGCAAGACCGAAAAAAGAGAGACAAGTTCGGTCAAACATAAAAATCACAAAACACCCTTGAGGTTGCCTTACTTCAAGCCACATACCAACGAAGCTAATTAGGATTTTTCAAATTTGTGAACGTAGCGTTCTTAAATATATTTTCAGCTATCAGAAAAGCTCAAGAAAACGTAATTTGGACGCATTGTAGGCTAGTTATGACCAAAATCCGGTTTCTAATCTAACAGACCTCGTACTTAGTGCAGCGTAAAATTGTCTACTCTCATTTTGTTTGTTTAGTTGTTCTATTTCTTCTGGTTTTTGTAGCTTGGTTGTTTTTACGTGGTAGGGTTGCTAGCTCTATGCACAACCCTCCTCCTTTTCCTGGGCTTGGGACCAGTAAGAGGAAAACATCTCGCCTTTATGCGGAGTTATATTAGTCATATTCATTAACATATTCATTGAAAATTAATTTTTTTTTTGTCTTAGAGACCAGCAGATTTGTTCATTCTAATTGAATTATTTGCTTGTGTTTTTCCAGATAAAGAAATAAAAGATGTGTTCAAGGAAGTTTTTGACACAATGGAAAAACTAAACATTTCTCTAGAATCTATGTGGGGTGTGATAAAAGTCTTGTTCCTTGTCGATCAGAATATCATAGGTCCTGAGTTATTTACATCAATCACCAAGAGAGTTGAAGAATGCAGGCGAAATAAATTTGACATTCCAGAGATTTACAATGCTTGCAAGGTACTGTATTATTGTTGGATAGCTCCTACATAACGGATTCTATGTATACTTCCTATTTATATTAACACTGTGTACCTATCACAAGACGAAAAGCAGATGATCATGATATAAAAGAAGCAGAGTAAAAAAACTGACAAAATTCTCATCATTAAAAATTTCGATACTGGGAAAAAACTGAGTGTTGAAGAAAAAATTATAGGAAAAGTCTTGAAATTTTTTTTGAAAAGTTGTCTGTAATCACTACTTGTAATTCTGTCATGAAGTGCTTGATTTTTAGTCGTGCTGCAAAGCCGTATAGACTAAAGATTTCGTCAGAGGTGCCCAAAAAATGTTCAAACTTTCAGGTTAAGTATACATGGAAAATTTTACAGCAACAAAGTGGTAGCATTTTAAGGATTTAGATTGTTCCCTTGTCTAATATTGCAAATAGAATTTCTGATCATTTGGTTATGGTTTAGTGGCGTATAGCAATTAACTGTGACCAAAATATTAAGTCCTATACTGGTGCCTTTCGGCTCAATTTCGCCAAATGGCATCCTTTACCATGAAGTCATGGTTGCAACCATGACTATAGCAACCTACTGGGACTAAAATTTCAAGAACCCATACTGATGCCTTTAGGCTCAACTTTTCCAAGTAGAATTTTCTTCTTGTAATCTAGGTTATTGGTGAAGACTCTGAACCAAGCAAGCGGAAAGAAAAGTGAACCTTCTGGGAGAATATTATTAGGTTGGTGCAGATAACTTTTAACATGTCTTAGACTTTTTGTCCATACAGTAGACCCTGAACAACAACTTAAATTCAAGGAAAATAAAGTTTTAAATATTCGTAACCATTTTACTGTCAGAATTCTCCAGTTCACATTATATTCGTGATGAATTTAAAGAATATTGCCGACAAAAGTTGAGTTCTTCAATTTAGCACTTTTTGTGTGTTCTACGGTACGGACAAAAACAATGAGTTTTGTCCTTACCCATAGACCATACAATAAGTGTTCAATGAAAGGAGAATTCAACTTTTGACAACGATGTTCTTTATTTTTATAATGAATATAATGTGGTCTAGTGACTTTGAACAAAAAAAATTGGTTATGAACATTTAAAACTTTATGTTCCTTAAATTTAAGTTGTCATTCAAGATCTACGGTAAGGGAAAAAAGTCTAAAACTCGTCAAAAGGTAGTGCCTTTCGGTTCAATATCGCCAAATGGAATTCTTTAATACTGAAGTCATGGTAAAGTTAGCTGTGTTGATTAATTATCACCTTTGGAAAATTTAGGTTTCAACATCACAGTCTTTAATACTGAATTATTCTTAATAATTAATCTGAATAATTCTTTAATACTGAAGTCATGGTAAAGTTAGCTGTGTTGATTAATTATCACCTTTGGAAAATTTAGGTTTCAACATCACAGTCTTCTAAAAATAACCAAGAGCAATACTGCACCAACCAAAATCTAGAAAAAAAAAAAAAGAATTTGGCTGAAAAGTGGGAGAAGTTGAAACGTGCAGTCTCAAAACAAACATACCTAGCTGTGACTGTGACTNGGGGGGGGGGGGGGGGGGGGGGGGTTGGCCCATTTCAGGTGTGTCAGTTCTAGTGTTAGCTTTGATGATTCATAGTACGTAAGTACCTAATTATAGTCCATTTCACGAAACCTGAGACTTTTTATTCGGCATTAAAATCCGTAAATGGCAACGCATTAGTCTCGAACTCAGTGACTGGACCGCTCGCAGGACAGCCTCTTTTGTTTAGCGACCATAGCACAGTGGGAAAAGCAAGTCTGAAAATCGGCATCAATGAAAATGGCCGAAATCGGTATGTATGTGTTCCTGAGAATGTGCTGATCAAGTATCAGCCATGTTTTACTTCGTAAGGTCGACCTTATCAGAGATAATCATAAGAAACACAATGGTTTGCGCGGTGCTGATGGAAGACCTCCTCTGAATGTTCACATTCAATAGCCTCCTGTGTTTATTAAAGAGCATCATGTAGTTACTTTGAATGTTTTTTGGCAATGGCTGACCTTTCTGAAAGTATTGTAGTGGGAACCCTATGGGGGAAAGCGGAACCACACTTTATATTTTATAACTTACACTTTATTCTTTGACTAGCTGCTCTAACAGGGGCTGGACCGGGTTGTCTCGGGTCTTTACTCCTCACACCGACTAACCCCGTACGAGCGGCTTCCGCGAGCTTTTATGCCAACGCCCGAAGCTTCCGTGCCCAACTCCGACTTCCGAATCGCCGGAAGCCGGTGTCACTCTTGCCGCAAGCTCCGCGCGCGGACACAAACAATCGCGTCTCAAAAACTCGCATCTAACACGCCTGACCCTGTCACTGGCATGGAAATCCGCGTTTTTAACAAAAATTTGAAGGACAAGAAATTTTTCACAAGAAACCCTCCCACTAATTTTGCAGGGTGTCTGCAGGTCTGGAAAACCGGGAAAACCGGGAAAAATCAGGGAATTTGATCACTGTCTGGAAAACCGGGAAAAGTCAGGGAATTCGATCGAAAACCGGTGAAAGTCAGGGAATTTTCGCAATTCGAACATTTCGCGGCTATTTTTGCTCGTCACTGCCGAATTGGCCGAGTAGCTCGCTTGCGTGGCTGATAATGTAAACTGCTCTGTTCGACCAGTTTGCAACACGGCCGCTAGGTTCCCTAATGTGTGTTCCGTAACTTTAAAGATCGAATCGATCTACCCTATTTAATTTATCTACTTAATTCATGCTAAATGGCAAGATAGACTAAATAGACTTGAATGAAGTTAACTTGCTAACAGCAGAAAATTACAGTAAATAATGATAGGAAACTAAGTGCCCTAGTTTTGAGCAGATGGTTAATCAATTTTTTCAATAAGTTAGGAAATTTAATGAAAAGGCTAGAATTTTAGTTTTTCTTTAACTGAGTAAAGAAATATTTAATGTCAACCGCATTTTGCATGAAATTTTTCTGGTTCTTAAATCAACATGTTCACAACTGGTGCATCCACCTTGTAGAAATATTATTGGTGGATTATATTCTAACAAGCCAATGCTTGTTGAGTATAAGACAAATTCAATACCAACAATAGATTCTGGAATCCATTGAATTAATTGACCTAAAAAAAAAAAAAAAAAAAATCCCGAATCAAGCAAATTTATCTAAAATCGAGAAGAGACTCGTATTTCCTCTTGATTATAGCAAAATCTACCTGAGTTAGGCACATTTACAACTCTTGTTTTCTATTTTAAGAAAAAGAAACTTGTATTTTCAGGGCACTAAGTAATATGCCAATATTTATGGAATCACCAGGGTGAACTAAAGTTTGAATTTTCAAAAGTATACGGGGCAATGTGTCACAAAGAGAGCGTAGTAGAGCTTAAAAATTAAATTTTGAAGGTGAATTTTAGTTTGAGTATACCATTTTGGAATTAGCTTTATTTTGAGTATTTAGGATCTCGTTCCTTTCAAAAGTATTACTCAACTCCTCCCAACGCCATGGTAATTCAGAATATGACTTTATGGGGTTATTCCTAAGGATAGTTTTTTTTTAATATTTTCTAACTAGTTCATCGTATGGCTAAACCCAAAAAGTCAGGGAATTTTGTTATTTTTTGTCATGGAAAACCTGGAATTGTCAGGGAATTTCATTTTGAAAATCGTGTAGACACCCTGATTTTGGAATTGTGGATACCATTTTTTTTTCTTAAATTCACTTTTCTACTTTACAGCAATTTTTTCAAGTTCGCCTCCAAAATAGTAACAAATTCAAACTTCTAAAGACTATATCTCTCGAGTTCAAGAGAGGTCAAGTGAGATTTTTATATCCAGTTACTCGTCATACTATCAAGAATACAATAATCCTTAGTTCGGGTGCGCATCCATGCGCCATTAGGAGATATTTGATAAAAAGAAAGTGGACATGTGCTCAAAATAAATGCGAAAGAACGTTGTGCATGGCGTTGAATCCCAGAGTCAGGAGGGGGATAGGAGAGTGCGTGCGCAGTGCGCTGCGCGCGCAACTAACGCAACGTACGTTTAACAACAACCGTTTCAGTAGTTTCTCAGAGTGGAACTAACAGCTGAGTTGGTAGAGGCACTCATTCGCGGAGGGAAGATTTTGAGTTCGATCCGACGCGAGCGTCAAGACTTTTTCGGCGCTAGATTGGCTGTTTTGCCCACTGTGCATAAGCCGGCATCCCGTCCATTGTGAGGGTAGGAACAATAGGCACCCTTCATCCCTCCTTAATGAACCCTAGTACCCGGACCAAAATTTTTTTGCCGTTGACAAATTAATCTTTTAGCGTGAAAATTTGGTTCCAGCTTGAAATTATGATAAAAACGCACCAAAATTCCGTCCAATTCTCTGAATTTTGAGCTGATGTATGGCATTTGCGTGTGACCGCGATTCGCCGCAAAATACCGTACGTCAATTCAAAATTACGAGAATTAGACGGAATTTTAGTGCGTTTTTATCATAATTTCACGCTGGAACCAAATTTTCACGCCAAAAGATGAATCTTTCAAAGGCAAAAAACTTTCGGTCCGGGTACTGGGGCTCATTGAGGAGGGATAAAGGGTGCCCATTGTTCCTACCCTCACAATGGACGGGTTGCCGGCTATGGTCGCTGAACAAAAGATGCTAACCGGCGAGCGGTCCGGTCACCGAGTGCGATTGCCATTTATGGATTTTAATGCCGAATAAAAAGTCTCGGGTTCCGTGAAATAGGCTATAGTCGTCTAATTTTGCTCGATGTATATGGAGTAAGTTTGGAGAAAGTGTATGATGCATTTGAAATCCTAGATTTCACCTGACTCAAAGCACTTGCTGCTTATACCGAGGAGTGTTCTGTTTCCTTGAGCGTTTGGCCCAAATGACGATTTCTTATTGTCCCTTCTTCGGATGGAGAGAGCTGTACTACTTTCAACCGTTGCAAACTAAGTATTCATGAAATACGTAGCTTTCCACGGAGAGAGCCTCTGAGCCTGCGTTATGGGTGTTACAAGAGGAAGAGAGGGGTATACTGGGTGCAGGGCCGCCTTAAGTACCTAACTGTTGACGCTGTATTTCCCTACTGTTTTATTGAACTCATTGATGCTTTATTATCCTATTTCCTTTGAATTTTACAACTAAATATATTCAGACCACTCATGATATTTAAGTTCTTTCCTTTCATTTTTGCTTCTTCATTTCTTCACTAACCAAAAGAAGTAAAGGGAGACTGATAATTGATTAAAAAAAAAAAAAAAAAAAAAAATGTGTAACAGTTTCTTTGTTGTAAAAGCATGCCGGATGAATGATGCCAATCTCGTGTGTAACACGGGTTCTCATGCAAGTGTGTGATGCTCCGAGTAGCGCGCAACGCACAACGCCTGGGGTGCGAGGCCCTTCGGGGGGTTAGACCGCGAAGCGGTAGGGAGTGTAGGCAGTCTCCTTGTCAACTATCAAATAAGAAGTTGCCGCAACTGCTCTCGAAAGTCAAAGTGGTCCTCCATCCAGCCATTTTACCATCTTTTCCATGTCATAAGAGACAAAATTGTATTACTTCCAAAAAATCATATTCCCTTTTCCTTGACATACTGTCAGCCATAATATAATAAATAGACATTTTAACTTCATTTTCTTTTGCTTTATTTGTCTTCTCAATCCAGATAGGTATTCTCGTATTATTCGCCATCTACTAAATCAGAATTTGAAACGTATTGTGAAATGTTGGAACAACTTTCATACAACACAATGGACCAATAGACAAGGTACGAATTACAGCATTCTGATACATGTTTCTTCACCAAAATTTCATGTAAAAGACGCTGCGCACAACGAAAATTACCGAAATCAACTCCTTACGAAAATATTTAATGATTCTTGATGCGTGAAATCAAACCATCCGCTCCTGAAAACTCAATGCTCTACGTGATTCACATCGCGCGCTAAACGTTGTCATGAACGTTTCTGCGATAAAAAAATCTGGCAACCTCAATCTTGACTCTTTGGCTCAGCTATAGCAAATTACTTCTAGTTTGAAAAACACATGGTGGGAAATGAACATTGCTCAATTGAGAAGCTTGCTGAAACCGTTGTAGTGCGCGATTTGACTCACGCAGAGCTTTGAGTTTTTTGTCAGCGGGCAGTTCAAATTCCTCGTCACCAATGTGAAATAAAAATGTTAATATCTCCGTTAGGAGTTGGTTTCAGTAATTTTCGTTGCGCGAATTTTGTTATACGTGAAATTCTGGTTAAGAAACATGTAACAGAATGCTTAAATTCGTACCTTGTCTAGTGGTCCATTCCGAACCAATCCTCACGTTAGCGGGTTCTCAACGCCTTAACAAAATGTTGTATGTAAAAAAATCATGGGCTTTCAAAAGAAATAAATTGCATTATTCTCGTGTGTCATTTATTTCCTTGACAAAACTGAACGGAGGTTTCTTTTTATTTTTTCACGGGGTTTTTTGCCACTCGATCTTCTCTTTCGTCTTCAGGTTTGTGGCTCAAAGACTTTATTCTTGCTTGCGATCCGTTCACCTGTAACTGATGCAAGACTTACGTTCCTGTGGAACTGCAGTGTACTTCCGCGGCTTTACGCGTTGCCGCGTGATCCAGAAGTCTCTGGAAGTGTACAGTTACAAGTTAGTCGCGATTAACCTGGCGCGTCCGCTTTTTGCTACTGCAAGTGCGCCTTCATTTCCCCCCACATGCAACAAGGACAACCGCAATGATAAATAATTGCACTTGCCGAAATACAGCCAAAATGCACCATTATGTATAGGTTATTTAAGTTATGCGTCTGTTTTTTGAAATTGCCCCTCCTGAAACTATAATAAACTATTCCACCACCTCTTCGGATTATTTATTTTCAATCAATCCAAATTCATGTAAAATATAGTTTATTTGTATTTGCATCAATTTTCTCTCCTATTGGAACCTAATGTAAATAAGGTTGAATCCACTAAGTCAGTCAAAGGAAAATTTATCTATGACTTTGATAAAAACAACCCGTATTTCACAAATTACAGTTTGGAGAAGTAACTAAAGCACCCAAACAAGCTATCATTCAGAAATGTTTTTCCAAAATTACTACTGCGTTTATCAACCCACCATCTGATTCAATCATTTTAATGGATCACTAGACAAGGTACGAATTTCAGCATTCTGATGCATGTTTCATAACCAAAATTTCACGTAAAATACGATACGCACAACGAAAATTACCGAAATCAACTCCTTACGAAGATATTTAATGATTCCTGATGCGTGAATTCAAACCACCCGCTCATGAAAACTCAATGCTCTACGTGATTCACATCGTGCACTAAACGTTATCATGACAGTCTCTGCGATATAAAAATCTGGTAACCTCAATCTTGACGCTTAGGCTCAGCTATAGCAAATTGCTTATCGTTTGAAAAACACATGGCGGGAAATGAACATTGCTCGGTTGAGAAGCTTGCTGAAACCGTTGTAGTGCGCGATTTGACTCAGGTAGAGCTTTGAGTTTCTTGTGAGCGGGCAGTTCAAATTCCTCGTAACCAATGTGAAATAAAAACGTTAATATCTTCGTTAGGAGTTGGTTTCAGTAATTTTCGTTGCGTGAATCGTGTTCTACGTGAAATTTTTGTTAAGAGACATGTATCAGATTGTTTAAATTCGTACCTTGTCTAGCAGTCCATTGTGGCATCTCATCTGGTATGTTGCCGCATAACTTTTATGATACTGAAAGTCTTGCAAGTTCAATTTGAAACCAGAGGGGGGGCTCTAGGGGGCCGAGCCCCCTCAACAGGTATTTTCTGCTACTTTTTTCATCTCGAGGCTGCATGAACCATGTGAAATTTGTGTAGATCCACTTGATATTTGTAATGAAAGCGCCCGCAGGAAGCAGGGCCTTAGCAAACGGAGATTCCACAAGAATGCAAATTAAGTCTCATTTTGTAGGAGGTGAACAAAGGATTATCATTAAAAAAATTCATATTGAGTAATTTGTACAATTATACTATTTCAGGCGTGTGATGTGTCTATGCTTTCTGAAGAGCAAGCAAGAGTAGTACGTAAATTTCTATCTGAAGGTAAAATGTCAGGAGTTGAGCTACGTTTGAAGAACAGTCCAGACTTGATGAATTTCAATCTTCAAGATTCCATATTATACAAAGAACGAAGACTTTTCACTGCTCGATTGGAGGTAAAGGATTTAGTTCTCTAATAAAAAAAAGGAGTGTCTTTGAAAAAAATGTTTACCCTGATGCCTGCAAAGTCGTTCTCAGCCGCAGTAAAAGAAATCGAAGAACTTGATGCAAAAACGGCTTTTTTCGCCCCCCCTAGAATTTCTCTAAACTTTTTCTATTGATTACTCATACTTAAGCGCTCCTTTTCCCAAATTTTCAGATCCCCAAAAAATTTTGGGGGTAAATTTTTTTCAAATTTTAGGAGAGTTACATCTTACACCAGGTAAAAACATACTGAAAATTCAGATCGGTCACGGCCAGGATGAGGGAGAAGAGGTTTAATTTTTCGCCCCATGCACAGTTTGCTATTTTAGTGATGCTGCCGCTTCACCGAAGCTTCGTATATTTGGAGCCTCCCCCCCTCATCTATTTTCTTGGAGTGTTACATGATCTATTGATGATAAAATTACGCCATGAAATCACATAGTTTTCGGGTACTCGATTGGGACCTATGTTTATTTTAATATCCTGTTTGTTGAAAATTCCTCTAACACTAGAAAAGCTCGCAACTTTCAACCGTTTGCGCGACCTCTAAATATTTGAATTTTGGGCTGAAATTGATTTTAGGATGTTTTTTAATGATTTCAATCCGATTAATGATGAGGCACCATAAAATTTCAAACTTTTTTTACCCCATATACGCCGCACCCTAGCGCACTGTTTATGAGTGTTCAATAGACAAAGATTGAAGAAATTCCAGGGGTGCCGGGGGGGGGGGGGCGGGGGGGGGGGGGGCCGAAAAAAGCAGTTTTTGCATCAAGCTCTTTTATTTTCCATTTTAAGGTCAAACAGTAGCAGAACTATTGTGGACCCCGAAAAAAGATGCAAATTCAAGCTTTATGGTTTAATTTTCCTCTCAAGTATTTTACGTAGTAAGTACACAATTCGTGCCAAAAAATTGATAAAATTAACTCCTAACCAAGATATTAACGTTTTCCAATGCATAAATTTTAACTTTCTTCTCACAAAAAAACATAATCCTTTTGAGTTAAACAGCACCATAAACATCGCTGTAACAGTCTCTGTAGTAAAAAATATGACAACCTTGATCCTGGCGCTTTGGCCCAGTAATCCTACAGTGTTTACACTTTTAATAAACAAGGTGGGGAAGCAACACTGCTTGATCAAAAAGCTTGCCAAAACTGTTGTAGTGTGCACTTTGATTTAAGTAGAGTCTGCTTTTTCTTGTGAATCGGAAAGTCAAATATTTCATAACCAATGGCAATTAAAAATTAATATCTTGATAATTTGTTGATTTCATTAATGTCCATTGCACAAATATTGTTCTGCATGAAAGAGCTTGATGCAAGAACGGCTCTTTTCGCCCCCCTCTGGAATTTCTTCAGACTTTGTCTGTTGATTACTCATACTTGAGCGCTTCTTTTCCCAAATTTTCAGACCCCCAAAGAATTTTTTGGGGGGGGGGGGTGGAAGTCAAAACCTGTGAACCTCAATATCTCTCAAATGAAGAAAGATATCGAGGTTCGGTTTGGACGAAAAATCGTCTAAAATTGCATACTTTAAGATTCTAAAGGTCGAAATCCCGATATCACATTTTTAAGTCAACATGTCTGCTTTTTTCCAGTTTTTAGGTCTAGAAAATTTCTCTTAAACAAAGGAAACACAAAAATCTCAATTTTATATTTGAACCAAAACCAGTTTTTTAAATTGTTCGTCTTTTTCCGCATCCAACGAGTGGTCCATTAAGCTGGGAAACCAAACGGTTCCGGAGTTATGATCGATTGAAGTTTCCGCTCAACGCGCGCCGACCGATTTTTCGCGCGCTAAAAAGTCGGATTTAACTGTTATTAGATCAGATTGAATGTTCAAACTGAGCAAAATGCATTATTAGGGACTCTTGAGGGTCGCTGAGGTCAGAAATTACAGATACTTCCAAATAATTCACGTTTTTAAAATTACAGCTCCGTAGCGCTATTATAGAGGCTCACTGAGCGCCGACCAGCCGCTGAGTGGTCCTGTACGGAGCTGTAATTTTAAAAACGTGAATTATTTGGAAGTATCTGTAATTTTTGAACTCAGCGACCCTCAAGAGTCCCTAATAATGCATTTTGCTCAGTTTGAACATTCAATCTGATCTAATAACAGTCAAATCCGACTTTATTGCGCGCGAAAATCGGTCGGCGCGCGTTGAGCGGAAACTTCAATCGATCATAACACCGGAACCGTTTGGTTCCCCAGCTTAATGGACCACTCGTTGGATGCGGAAAAAGACGAACAATTTAAAAAACTGGTTTTGGTTCAAATATAAAATTGAGATTTTTGTGTTTCCTTTGTTTAAGAGAAATTTTCTAGACCTAAAAACTGGAAAAAAGCAGACATGTTGACTTAAAAATGTGATATCGGGATTTCGACCTTTAGAATCTTAAAGTATGCAATTTTAGACAGTTTTTCGTCCAAACCGGACCTCGATATCTTTCTTCATTCGAGAGATATTGAGGTTCACAGGTTTTGACTTCCACCCCCCCCCCCCCTCCCCAAAATTTTTTGAGGGTCTGAAAATTTGGGGAAAAAAGCGCTCAAGTATGAGTAATCAATAGACAAAGTCTGAAGAAATTCCAGAGGGGGGGGGGCGAAAAAAGCCGTTTTTGTATAAAACTCTTTTGAAGGGGAAACATGTATCAGAATGCTTAAATTCGTACCCTGTCTGATGGTCCTTAGTAACTTTCCAGATAAAAGAAGGGACTGTTATTCCTAGAAGCAAATTCTACATAAGAAAGAATTTTCTTCTTTTGGATCCGAAACTTTACATTTTTTTTTCCTTCTTGTAAAACACTCTGTTGTATCCCTGAGAGGAAGTTTTCAGTGATATAGCTCGTTTTAAAATGGCACCAGCAAGATTTACATATTTCTTCAATACCTTGAAAGATGCCTCAGGTAAATATTTCTCCACTGCTCACGTCAGATGATTTTCTTTTTACAGTCTGCAAGAGGTATATTCCAGCATACATGCACAAATCGTCACAGCATTTCAGAGTTTCCCAAGGAGGTTTTAGAGACGATGGTTGAAAAAAGGTGAGTACGCAATGTTCAGCTTTAGTTGGCAATAATTTCAATTTCAACTTCTGTGATGTTTAGGAGCTTTTATCTAGAAGGGATGGGGGATTTGCAAAAAAATTTGTGAGATTCTAAAAAGAGACCTAATCCAAGGGAAGATTGGGCGTGAAAAATTTTAAATTCTCTGTAAATATCGTGATCATTTTAAAACGATAAGAACTCTAATTTATCGAATAGCCAAAAGTAGGGTCAACGAAATATCGTTTCCTGTTTCATAACATATCACTGAAACAGTTTAGGAAAAAAACAAGCAGGAAAATTAATCTATTGAGACACTCCTGTGCCACTTAGTACTCATCTTAATGAGATTATTTTGTCATGCTGTCACGGTAAGTCTTCAGAACAGTCAAGTTTGTGAGTCGGGCAAAGTTAATGTTAAAAAGGCTTTAAGATTTGACCCAAGACTGAATAAAAAACGATCTTGTGTGTTTTTGCACCGAAGCTTTTGTCCACTTCAACTTATTTCTTATCAAGCCAGTTCTTTGTTTGATTTTCTGGTCTGGTGAATACGAATAATTGAAATAAATCTCTTTTCAATTTCTTTTTAAGAATTTTACTTTCGCAGCCAAAATTCATAATTAAATTTTATTTGATTGCATAATTTAGTGGAAACGTCGAAGAAGGTCCTTGGTTAGTTACTTTAAGTCCTATTTTACGAAGATATTTCCTGGAATACTGTTCAGATCGTGATATACGATGGAATTTCTACCAAGCTGAAGAGAGAGCTGGGTCTACGTGGGAAGAGGACGTCACCCTCAGGAACAGTCAAAGTGCTGAGGAAATCCGCAAAGCCAGGTGAGACAAGGATTCAAAGTTTCCCAGGAAAGATTTTAAAGTTTCCCCAACTTATCTGAGAACAGTCCTGGTTACTCCTTAAATGGGTTAGTTTCGCAAGTCATAGAATCATGTCCTCATTGTTTCAATCAGCAACAAATAATAAGATACGTCCAAACGCCTAGTTACTACGTCGAACATTAACCAAGATACATACAGGGTGTCTCACGAAAAACGAGCCACTTTGAATATCTGCCGAACGCGTCGGAATTTCGAAAAACGGTAAAAGACGTGTTCGTTCATATCGAGGGGGACACCTTTTGGCGTATTCGACATTTTCCCAAACCGCGGGAGGGGCGCGGGGTAGGGGGTGCCCCACCCGTAAGTCGAACTTTTCAAATGGTACCCCTACTTTTTTATTTCAGAAATCAATTCTACGCAAAAAAACAAGCTATCCTGTCCAAACCGAATGTAAATCGGACAATTTTTCAGTGATTGAGAGAGTTTGAAACATTTTTTTCATGCTCTTTCCAAAAATTTCCCACGCCCAATGGAATTGCTGTATCAAACCAAACTCTCCGCCAAAAAAATTCTTAAACATTGCACTTTCGATAAAAAAATCAAAAAAATCTGCTGCACCCGAAATCTAGAGCACGCGGAGCCCTTCTTTGCGACATTAAAATTCGTAATACCGAACATTTCCGAGGGGCGCTCATAGGGAGGGAGTAGTAAGTTTTAGTCAAGAATTATTAATCTTTTTTCTGAAGCATAAGAAACCGTGTCCATGAAGAAGCAGTTAAGTAGAAAAACAACGCACCGTGGAAAAATAGCGTCCTCAGAAGTATCAAGGCCCGGCTCAAGTCATTGACCCCCCCCCCCCCTNCCCCCCCCAAAAAAAAGCTAATCCATTTGTTTTTCTACTTAACTGCTTCTTCATGGACACGGTTTCTTATGCTTCAGAAAAAAGATGAATAATTCTTGTCTAAAACTTACTACTCCCTCCCGATGAGCGCTCCTCGGAAATGTTTGGTATTACGAATTTTAATGTCGCAAAGAAGGGCTCCGCGTGCTCTAGATTTCGGGTGCAGCAGATTTTTTTGATTTTTTTATCGAAAGTGCAATGTTTAAGAATTTTTTTGGCGGAGAGTTTGGTTTGATACAGCAATTCCATTGGGCGTGGGAAATTTTTGGAAAGAGCATGAAAAAAATGTTTCAAACTCTCTCAATCACTGAAAAACTGTCCGATTTACATTTGGTTTGGACAGGGTGGCTTGTTTTTTTGCGAAAAATTGATTTCTGATATAAAAAAGTAGGGGTGCCATTTGAAAAGTTCGACTTACGGGTGGGGCACCCCCCGCCCCGCGCCCCTCCCGCGGTTTGGGAAAATGTCGAATACGCCAAATGGTGTCCCCCTCGATATAAACGAACACGTCTTTTACCGTTTTTCGAAATTCCGACGCGTTCGGCAGATATTCAAGGTGGCTCGTTTTTCTTGAGACACCCTGTATAATCTTTAAAGAACATAGTGTATAATGTCATTCCCTGCAACAGTTTGTACCATGGTTTCTTCCACCTTTAGTCCAGGCAAACTAGGCAAAAAAAAGGCCTAACCTCGGACAAATCAGCACAAACTTCTCATATGTTTTAAATCACTCCAAAACATTTCTAGAGCCCCCCTTTAAAAGTTTATCATTAGCCCCCCTCGGGAACAGAGTCAAAATTGCTTAAAACAAAATGGCGGCCGTCTGAAATTACGTATAAATTGATTGTTGACTTCTTCAGGGTTTTCCCGATTTTACGTGATTTTAGTGCATTCAGTGAAAAAAAAATTTTTTATCAATTCTTAAGAGTAGAAAATTTTGCCTTCAAATGTATATTAGTTTGTTAAATTTTGACTTGTCCGTCCCAAGCTACGAGGATGGAGACCGAAAAAAAAGGCTACAATTTTCTTCAAATTTCAAGTTTGGTCTGTAACTTTTAAGACACAGCTATGGCAGTATTTTTGCTCCTTAAATTGTTGGCACCAATGAAAAGAGCGTGAAATTTTCTTGTAAAGCGCGTAAAACACATATTACATCAAAATTTAACTAAAGGTATGATAACTTTATAGGGTATTTATGGAATGGTGTCCAATGGGGTTGTTGCATGCATTTTTTTAAATTCAGTATCTGAAAGTTGGAGGTGTCCTGATCGTTAAGGTATTTTTTTAAAAATTTTCTGGTGATTGGAACATGGAGAAAAAGTGTCGAAAGTTCAGAAACGATTTGAAACGGGGTTCCTTCCCGCGCCTCTAAATCCTGTGACTCTGACGTCACAACGCACGGCCCAGGGCCCCTGAGCTTAACTCGTGAGTACTGCTCAAAATTAGTGCTCAGCAATTCGATAGAGAAAGAAAAGAAGGTGTTTGCATCTTGAGGATTGTGTATCCTGTGACGAAAGTCGGTACAACCTGGTCAGCGAAATCCGGAATTCGAAGTATGAAAAACGATTTTTTTGCTTATATCAACTCAAAGTGTAGTTTTGAACACTTTATGTGGAATGTATTCTTTCCATAAACTACACAATTTCCAAGAAAATCGATGATAAAAGTCACCGTACCGACCTACGTCATTAATAAAAGTCCAAGATGTCCGAAATGCAAACACCTCCTTTTTTTCTTCTATGCGCTAATTCGCTGTCGGGCAGGTGCCTAGCGGCCGACGATTTGGGCTCAAATCTGAGCGTAATTCGAGCCCGCTGAATTATGCTCACTGCGCTCGCTGAAAATGATCAATTAAGCACACGTCGGCAGCGCCGCTTTTTCTACCTGCGTCCTGCACGTTTTACCGCGGCTGCGGTGTACGCGTATGCTGTTGCTTCGCGTAAGTTGTGACTTCGCCTATAACTGTAGCAACCCCTCGTTAGACGAGGGTTGGGGAAATTTGCGGTGTTGCAATTTCGGTCATGCAAATCTCAGTTTATGAGCGGAGGTTTTCTTTTTTTTTTTTGGATGAAGGGAAAAAGAGCTTGATGCAAAAACGGCTTTTTTCGCCCCCCCTCTGGAATTTCTTCAGACTTTGTCTATTGATTACTCATACTTGAGCGCTTCTTTTCCCAAATTTTCAGACCCCCAAAAAATTTTGGGGGGGAGCTAGGAGGAGCTCCGCACAGGACCACTGAGCGGCCGATCGGCGCTTATTGGGCCTCTATAATAGCGCTACGGAGCTGTAATTTTAAAAACGTGAATTATTTGGAAGTATCTGTAATTTCTGAACTCAGCGACCCTCAAGAGTCCCTAATAATGCATTTTGCTCAGTTTGAACATTCAATCTGATCTAATAACAGTCAAATCCGACTTTATTGCGCGCGAAAATGGGTCGGCGCGCGTTGAGCGGAAACTTCAATCGATCATAACTCCGGAAACGTTTGGTTCCCCAGCTTAATGGACCACTCGTTGGATGCGGAAAAAGACGAACAATTTAAAAAACTGGTTTTGGTTCAAATATAAAATTGAAATCTTTGTAAATTTTTCGTTTAAAAGAAATTTTCTAGACCTAAAAACTGGAAAAAAGCACATATGTTGACTTAAAAATGTGAAAGCGGGATTTCGACCTTTAGAATCTTAAAGTATGCAATTTTAGACGATTTTTCGTCCAAACCGGACCTCCATATCTTTCTTCGTTCGAAAGATATCGAGGTTCACAGGTTTTGACTTCCAACCCCCCTAGCTCCCCCCCCCCAAATTTTTTTGGGGGTCTGAAAATTTGGGGGAAAAAGCGCTCAAGTATGAGTAATCAATAGACAAAGTCTGAGGAAATTCTAGAGGGGGGGGGGCGAAAAAAGCCGTTTTTGCATCAAGCTCTTTGCCACAGTGCCCCCATGAAAGGGACCCATCGATTACTGGGACCTCAATGGCCATCAGCTGGTGAAGAGCCGCCGAAGCGACCCGTAACCAAGGTGTCGTGGGGATTCGGCCGGTGGGGGTTCGGCCGCACTTTTTTGATAACTCGAGATTTTATATTACGCTTGGCAACACGGTAGAGTGATACACTTCTACTATTCGGCCGAATCCCCACGGCAATAATTTGTCTCTGGCAATAATAGTGCCGTTTTTCTTATCGGAGTTGAGATTCAAACTGATGTCTGTCGCTGAACCGCAGTCGATGAATGTTTCGTAACGCTGATCAGTGTTTATCAGTTAGTACAAAGGCACCTGTCAAGTGGGCAGTAGTCGCATCGTTTTAATTTTTTTTTTTTTTGCTTATTTAGTTTATTTTTTTCCTTTGTTCAACTTTTTTAGATTCAACCAAATTCAATTTTTTATTTTATTTACCGTGAGTGACATAAAACCATGAGTGAGAAATTGTTTAACATCGGAGAAACATCAAAAGGAAAACCCCGCTTAATTCATGATGGATACGAATACAAAGTGAGGGAGAAGAAAGAAGATACGTTAATTTGGAGGTGTTTAAATGACCACAACAGTGTGAAAAATGTCTCGGAACTTTAACGACATCAGGTGATGTTATTGTACGAAATACAAGTCTGCATTAAGTGCGAGGGAAAATTGTAATTATTCTATGCGGCTTATACGGTAACCTTGTGCGATTCGGGTGCGCGAGCTATCAATCCGGCCGAATCCCCACGCGACACATTCTTTCAACGTGCCGTGTTGCCAAGCGTAATATAAATTCTCGAATTATCAAAAAAAGTGCGGCCGAATCCCCACGCAACCGTAACCAACCCGACCGCTGTGAGATGGGAAAACCCGGTTATGTGGGGGTAGTGTGTGTTCCGTACCCACTAAACGACCCCTCCAGGCCACACCCCGTGCAAGTGTGGCTCATCGGACGCTCTATCCTCCCGTCGAACGTCCCTAAGGCACTCTTCGAACGGCAGTCCCCGACCCCGGCGCCCCTCAGGCCCCCCACTTGGGGGAGGGTCCCCCCATCCCCCGGGACCGATCTGCCGAAGCCATCATTGTACCCGGAGTCAAGGGCGTAGGAGGAGAGCCGAGGTTCAGCTTGCGACAACCCCACGGC